GAGCCTCGCTCTGGAGCATCCACTCCCGAACTTTCTCGGGGGAGCGTCCCACCTCCACAGTTAGCTAGTGGGCCTTCGGGAAGGCCTGACGCCCGCGAGTCATGCCTCCCCAGGCCACAGCCTCAGGCACGTCATGCATGCTGTCATTCTGTAGGGCAATTACCCACGACCTCAGATTATAGCCACACACCTCATCCCATTTATTTGGGGCGTGAAGAGGTCCCAGTATTTAAAGGGGATACACCAGCATCAATGCCTCTGGTTCGCAATCAGGAAGTAGAGGCCTGGATTAGTACCATTGAGGCTCTAGCAAGACCTCCTACAGATGATAATTTTATTCGTGTTGCTAAAGCTAGGGCCAGGGGATATGCACAGTATTTGTTGCTCTCCCCGGTGTTTGAGTTTATTTCTTCGTGGACAGAATTTAAAGCTCAGCTTCGCATGAAATTTAGAGGTACCTGCACCAGTGAAAGTTTTTTCGAGATGCTGTCACAGAGTAGAATGATTCCAGGTCAGACGCCGCTTGACTATTATCAGCAGGTCGAGATGGCGGTGTTCCAGGGTGTGAGGGATTATCCTCACGAGATAGGTGATGCTGAGGGACTCATTAGGAGGACTTTCAAGGCTGGCTTGCCAGAAAGGTTGCAGCGCCAACTTTCCTTGCACACGTTCTCCTCGGCTCGAGCCATGGCTGAGCGGGTACAGTGTGCCTGGAATGATTGGACAGGTCTACGAATGTCTCTTCCCCTCGCCACTCAGGTTTCCCGTCATTGTGGCGGCCAGGCATCTCAGCCCGTGGCCTCACCTCCCTCGTCTTCTACCTTTACCTACCCACCTACTACACGTCCCTTACTGCTGAAAGTGTTCCTGGTCTCGATTTTTATTCAGACAACCCTTTTTCTGTTCAGGCTACTCAGGCAACTCAGACAGGTTCCCCAGGCCATTCCCACAACTTTGACAATGAGAGGGTCAGCCGGGTTCTCCTAGGCAACGACAATTTCAGGCAGTGCGCCCTAAGAAGTGGTGCACCTATCATAGGGTTAGTAGCCATAATACATCAGAGTGTATGAGGGGTCAAGGGTTGTGTTATGTCTGTGGTGAACAGGGTCATTTCGCGGCGGCATGTCCCTTTCCGTCGCGCCGGCAGGCCACGACACCACTTCCTGCCGGCAGAGGAAACTTTTCATGTGAGCCCACAAGTCGTGTCTCCCAAAGGGAGACCAACAATCCAGGTTCGGGTCAATAGTAAAGTCCTGACAGCATTTGTTGATACAGGTAGCGAAGTCACCATTCTTAAAGCTTCAGTGGCCTCTAGTTTGTCTGACACAAAGATATTACGTAGCAGTAAGACTCTTCAGGGCGTTGCTGGGGCTGCGATGTCAGTACTGGGAGAAATGGATGTACTTTTTACTATAGGTGAATCAAAACTTTTGCATCGTGTTTGTGTTGCAGATAAAATTCATTTTCCAGGGGACTTGCTGATGGGAATGGATTTCCTACGCAGGTTAGACATGAAGTTATTTACCGGTAACAAATCTCTTCCAAGGCTTATTTGTTGCTAGGTGGAGTCAATTTCCCAATCAAGTACACTGGAGAGGACAGTTTGGGCTGTGTGTCTGTGCCTTCGGTGGTAGAAGTAGCTAAAGAAAGAAGGGCAACACAGACCCTCCGCATAGCTCCGGTTCATGTGGTTCAGACAGAGTTCATTGAGCCTAAGTCAGGGCAGTTTGTTAGTGCTGCTGTTGCTAGAGGTCTCCCAGAGTCTAGGGCAATTTTAGTGGAGGGAACAAACCCAAAGTTCATTGTTCCTCGCTCCATCTCTGCTGTACAGGGCAGAAGAACGTCAGTTTGGGTGGTAAATCCAGATGCAAAACAAAGGAAATTGACACAGGGTACTTGTATAGGTTTTGCAGAGCAAGTAGGAGCAGAGCAGTTGGTGGATGTTAGTGCAGAGGGTAATGTGACAGGAAAAGAACCCAGGGTGAAGGAGGATACAGTGACTCATCCCTCCTCAACTGGGCATGCAGGACGAGATTTCAGCCCAGAGGCTGCCGAGTTTTCACAACCCAAGTTCACTGATGCCACTACTCAGGTACACTCCCTTGCTGAAATAGACGCAGATGAACTGGCCCCTAGATCTTGCAAGGTATGGCCAGCAGATGAACAAGTAGCCGAGTGTCCTTCAGATACTTCAGATGATGATATCGAGCTCTGTAACTTTAGTTTCGATAGTTGATGAATATTATGCAACACAGGACTTTGGTTATTCAGACGAAGAGTATTTTGTTTTCCCAGATACTCCAGCTCTGAGTGGTTCTGATGCCTGCTCTGATGATTCCTCTCTCCAAATAAATCAGGCATTAATGTAGTAGAAAGTAGTGATTCACCAAGTAAACAGGTAGATTTGGGTCACTTAGATTCTGTGCAGCAAGAGGAACTCGGTAAAGTTTTGAATAAGTTTCCTCGACTCTTCTCTGGGGACAAAGCAACTATCGGTAAGGTGCCTGGTATACAGCACCACATTGTTACTAAAACAGATCAACCTGTGTGCGTTAGGCAGTGGCGTCTTCCTCAGGCAACCAAGGAGCTGATACGTTCAGAGTGTGACACAATGCTTAAGCAAGGGGTTATTGAGCCTTCCACGTCACCCTGGCTCTCTCCGGTAGTCCTAGTAAGGAAAAAGGATGGGACAGTTCGCTTTTGTGTTGACTACCGGGGCTTGAATCATGTCACTGCTGCTGATAGTTATCCCTTACCTCGAATCGACGAGGTCATAGACAGTTTGACGGGCAATGTTTGGTATACCGTACTGGACAGTAGAGCAGCATATTGGGCAATAGAGGTAGCTGAGGAAGATAGGCCAAAAACAGCTTTTACTGATGGAGCACGCCTCTTCCAGTTTCAAAGAATG